ACATGGAGATAAAGAAAAATTGCAGCATATGGAGCTAAACATGCAAAGAAGACCTTATTCAATACTATTGGCAGGTGAAGATATGGAGAAAAAAGAACTCTTGTTCACAGTTGGAGGAATTCTAAGTCGGTGCAGGCATTATAGGAAACAGTATGGAGGTACCTCAAAAAATTAAAAATAGAACTACCATACAGTCCAACAATTCCACATCTGGTAATATACTTGAAGTAAATAAAACACTATGTCCAAGAGATATCCGCACTCCGTGTTTATTGCAGCATTATTGGCCACAGCCAAGACACGGAAACAATGGAAGTGTCCATCGGGAGATGAGTGATATAGAAGCTGTGAGACACACACACATACAGACACACACACAATGGAATACTCTTCAGCAATAAAAAAAAAGAATGGAATCCTTCCGTTTGCAAGAATACGAATGGACCTTAAGGATATTATGCTAAGTGAAGTAAGTCAGATGGAGAAAGACAAATACTGTGTATGTGGCTCTCACTTACATATGGAATTAAAAAAATACCAAAAAACCAAAAATCCCATACTTATAGACAAAGGAATCAGAAATATGGTTTCCAGAGGTAGGGGTTAGGAGTTCGGGGAGTTTGAATAAGGTGGTTAAAAGGTAGAAACTTTCAGTTATAAGATAAATAAGTACTGGGGATATAATATACAACATTATGCCCATAGTTAACACTACTGTGCAGTATATTTGAAAGCCGTTAAAAGAGTAGATCCTAAGAGTTCTCATCACAAGAAGAAAAGGCACTTTTTTCCTTTTTTTTTTTTTTTTTTTTTGGTATCTATATGAGATGATGGATAAGTAAACTTACTGTGATAATCATTTTACAATATATGCAAGTCAAGTCACTATGCGGTACACCTTAAACTTATACAGTGTTGCATGTAAATTATATTTCAGTAAAACTGGGGGAAGAGATGATTACAGGAGGGGAAAAATACTGAACTCAATTCCACTGGAAAAATAAAAAAGGCAGGAGGACTTTTTTTTTAAAGTAAGCTCTACACCAAATGTGGGGCTTGGACTCATGACCCTGAGATCAAAGGTCACATGTCCTACTGACTGAGCCAGCAGGAGGATTTTTAACTGCTGGGGTGAGCTAGTGGAAAAGCACTGGAGGCTGTTATAACGTTGGTTACTGTGATTAGACTGTGTTTGCTGACTGGCATCCATTAAAGTAGGGCTCCTACCCTTCCACAGAGACTGGGAGATAAGTATGTTCTTTCTTCACGATTGCATTTTAAAGAGATGGCTCCCAGGCCCTTAAGAAAGACGTTCCCAGGTTGTACAACTGTCAAGAACATGAGAGAAGACTTATATCTCAAAGGGGCAGAGAAAAAAATTAACTCTGTAAGTCTTCTAAAGTAAAGCTCTAAGAAAGTGGAGGTCAGGGGCCCACAGCCAGGAGAAACTGCCTACAGCTTTGTCAAGTTGAGGGCAATGTTAAGGCCATCTTGATCACCACTCTCTCACTTCTCCCCTCACCACTCCCTTTCTACTTTTGTCTGTCCTTGTGGGGTTTATGCCTTTTTAAAAAAATCACTTTACTTTTAGCAGAATTTTAGGAGAGTGTAAAATTAGATACATGACTTTAAAAACATTTTTAACGTTTACTCATTTCTGAGAGACAGAGGCAGAGCACAATTGGGGGTGGGGCAGACAGAGACAGGGAGACACAGAATCTGAAGCAGGGTCCAGGCTCTGAGCTGTCAGCACAGAGCCTGATGTGGGGCTAGAACTGTGAGATCATGACCTGAGCCTAAGTTGGACACTTAACCGACTGAGCCACCCTGGCGCCCCAGGATACATGACTTTAATGTAACATCTTTAACTGGAATCCCGAGAATTCTTTCAGAAATATATATCATATGCCTCTAAACTCTTTGCAGCAGCTTCCAGATTTCTTTATAGGAAGAAATTAGGAACAGGAATTTTGTTGCAAGTGAGAAAGCTAGGATATTTATTTACAGAGAAAGTGCATTTTTGCATGGACTGTTTACAAATCAATACAAACAACACAACTCCTTAATGCTACCACTTAACAGAGAAAAAGTAACAGCTTCCAAAATTTTTTAGTGAAGCCAGTACTATAATAACTTGGTCTATTATGAGAGATTCAGACAGTAAGTTGGGTAATTATGAATGTTAGCTCTAACAAGGCTCTAGGGAACTCTATCCCATGGCTCCCTGTCTGCAGGTGCCCAAAGTGGAACCCTCTCCAGCTTCCTCCTGTTATTAGCCTGATGAGCCAGCTCCCTGTTTCTGAGTTTCTCAGTTCAGGTTTCAAAAGACAAACATAAAATACCTCAAAACTCCTGAATACCTGTGTTGAAGGGGATCAGGGTACCACATGTCCCAGAGCATCTTAAAAATCCAGTACAGAACTTCTTTGTTCCAGCTGATGAAGGTAACTGAGATAACTCTGGCCTTCCCTTCAGATTTATCCTTGGCTTGGTTTTGCAATCCTTTGTTGATCTCTTAGGCTTCTTGTCTAGAATCCTTCTCTCTCTTGCTCTCTCACTCTTGCTCTTGCTCTCATTCTCCCTTTTCCCCTCTAAACTTATTTTTAACCTCAGCTTAGCAAGCTCTTTTTTGCTTCTGTATTTATTATTCTTGATCCTAAATTCTGATTCCAGTAAATCCCATTACAAACGTTGTCAAGAAGAATCTGAGCTCTTCCTACCTTCCTCCCAAATTCAGGACATCTGCAATGCGTTCTTCTTAGCAACCAGAGTAGCAGTAAGAAGAGAAACTTGAGACAAACTACAGGCTAGTAGTTATTGCCTTTGTAATATCCTCTCCATCATGTCGAAGCCAGCTCTTACTTGTTGGCAGACACAGTAGATGAGGAAGCAGTGGAGGTAAGTAAAGGGATCTTACTACCCTGTGATGACAGAGACACAGGTTGCCCTAAGGTTCAGGAAGCACCTCATTGTTGTCTCTAGGATCTACAAAGTTTTCTGAGACTTTAGACAGGATTAAGGATAAGAAACCCTTTTAGGGAAAGGAAGAACCAAAAGATAGAACAAGAGATATTAGCACAAGGCCCTTGAGTACAGCTTTGGACACTTTTAGAAGATTTCTGATGTTAACTGGTTGGTAGTATAGACTGAGGGACCTCTACAGGAATAGTCTGATCAAGGGATTGTATGCCAACAGAGATAATTAAAGAGATACAGGTCTTCCCTAAAATAAATTGCAATCTCTTTGAGGTCTCCAATGGAAATGAATGGACTCATTCACTAAAGGTAGGATCTGGATGCCAGGACCAGCATGTCTGCTGGTCTGCATCACCTTCCTCTTGAGAAGATACACATCAGTTGGGTCTTAAGAGAGTCTCCTGCCTCCAGGACATGGTTATTAGAATGTGCCCAGTTACAGAGCCTAACCTTTGTGAGGCATTACATTTGCCATTGAGAGATAGAGTAGGGGAGAAAATAGCTTGTGGCACCTGGTCTCTCAGGGTAAGTAATATAGCTCTGAGATGTGTTCCCCAATTAGTGTAGGGTTTGGCAGTAGATAAATATGTGATGGTTCTCAGTTATTGCTCTTGCTAATGTTTGAAATATTAACTTCAAAATAGAAAAAATCCTTCAATATATCTTGTATTGGTTTGGAGGTGGTTTTTTTCTTTAGGTGTGGACTCTGAATAGAGATTGGGAGTAGGGATGTATTTAGATCTGTAAGATATTGATAAGAAAAATCATGAAAAATAGAAAGGTAGCTGACTGAACAGAAACAGTTCTAGTCTGAGAGCCTGGATACTCTGATTCTTATACTATCTCCCTCTAAGAAGCAGTGTTAACTTTTACAGTCACTTCACTTTTCCAAAACTTTGCTTAATCATCTATGAAGCATATGGAGCAGTTGAACTAAATGAAGTTTTCTTAATCCCTATTGAGCATCAAAATACCTTGAGGAGGGTTTAGTTTTAGTTTTAGTTTTTTAAAAATACAGGTACCCAGACTATCTCATAGATAACTTAACTCAGTAGGTCTGAGGATTCTGTACTTTTAGAAATCATCTCACAGACCAATGTTTGAGGACCTCTGGACCAGATGATTCTGTAGGGTCTATCTCATTCGTAAACTTCATTGTTTTTCTATAAAAGACTAGTATCCAAGATAGAAAGAGCAAGCGAGGCTAAAGCTATGAAAGTAGAAATTTTGAGAGACTAAATGTTTGAAGGTATCTAGGTATTCTATCTATATTGACTGATTATGCTGTCTCTGGTGTCCAATGCTATGGGTTGAAATTCTGTCCCTAATATTTATAAGCTATGAGTCCCTCTGTATGTTAGTCAATTCTCTTCCCTATACAATTGTAGGAATAATAATATCTGCTTCCTAGTGCTATTTAAGGAGTAAAGGAGATGATCTGTATGAAGTGCTTAGTACAGTGGCTGATAAGTGTAGTAAGTTGCTGGTAAATGTCAGCTATGTGATGATGATGATGCCAATGACAAAAAACTCAAATACAAGAGGGAAAAAATACAGAACTCCTTATTTCCTATTTAAGAAGAAGTGATACAGAAATAAAGGAACATGAGTTTATATGCCCTTCCCTGTAAAATGAGATATTGTGGTAGTTTAAAAAAATTGTATGAATTTTGGGGCTACCAAGAGAATGTAAAATTCAACTCATCTCAGTCTACTCATGTACTGGGCAAAGCAACGGTGAAGCTGATATGGGATGGTAGACCTCGTTCAAGGCTTGGTAATGCCAGGACTGAAAAGTACCCAGAGCCTCCTTAGAAGAGTATAAAATATTGACCAGAGGGAAAGAGAAAAGAAAGGAAGAATCTATGAGATTCCTAAAAAAGAGGAAAAAGAAGGAAATACAGTCAGATTAGAAGTGAAGTCAGATTAGGGAAGATAATGAATATAAAGAGAGATTTGGAAGTTAGAAGATTTGAGAGTCATCACATGTAGAGTTCTAGAAGAAATCTAGCATCTAACTCTCCTCCCTAGCTTCCAGATGCTGCAGAGTCATGGAAAACCAATCCAGCATCTCTGAGTTTTTCCTCCAAGGAATATCCAAGTTACCAGAGCAAAAGCAGTTCCTCTTTGGAATTTTCCTGTGTATGTATCTTGTCACTTTAACTGGGAACATGCTCATCTTCCTGGCCATCAGATCAGACCCACACCCCCACACCTCCACGTACTTCTTTCTGACCAACCTGTCTTTTGTTGACATAGGTTTAACATCTTCCACAGTTACCAAGATGCTGGTAAATGTGCAGACTCAACATCACACCATTTCCTATACTGGTTGCCTCATACAAATGTATTTCTGATGTTTGGCGATCTGGAGAGCTTCTTCCTGGCTGTAATGGTGTATGACCATTATGTGGCCATTTGCCGCCCTCTCCACTACTCGACAGTCATGAGCCCCCAAGTCTGTGCCCTGCTGCTTGCATTGTGCTGTGTCCTCACCCACACTGTTGCCCTGACTCACTGTTGCCCTCCTCATAGCTTGGCTGTCCTTCTCTGTTGCTGGGGAAATAGCTCACTTTTTCTGTGACATAACTCCTATCCTGAAGCTGTCATGCTCCGACACTCACATCAGCATGTTGATGGTTTTTGCCATTAGAGGCACAGTACTCATTGTCCCCTTTATCTGCATTGAAATCTCCTACATCCACATTATATTGGCCTTCCTAAGGGTCCAAACTCCTGGTGCAGAAGGCAAGGCCTTTTCCACCTGTAGTTCCCATCTCTGTGTCATCTGTGTGTTCTATGGGACGCTCTTCAGTGCCTACTTGTGCCCTGCCTCTGTTGCCTCTGAAGAGAAGGACATGGCAGCAGCTGCAAGTGTACACTGTGGTGACCCCCATGTTGAGCCCCTTTATCTATAGACTGAGGAACAAGGATGTGAAGGGTGCCCTTAAGAGGCTCCTCAGTCACAGGAGAATTTTATCCTCTTAGATGCAGTGATGGTGGCTTTTCATTAAAGCCACAAACTTGGCTTCAGTTTTGGGTCTGCCACATACTAGCCATAAGATTGTAGTCCCATTGCCTATCCACTCTGAGCCTTAGTCTTCTCATCTATAAAATGGAGATAGTTACCTCTATCCTCCAGTAAGGTGACTGGAGGACTAGATGAACTGAGATAAACTCTGAACTGCATTTTGTATAGTGACAAATAATAGTAGGTTTTCAATAAGTGAAAGCTATTTTTATTACTGCTGTAAGTTTTCATCCTTGCCCCCACTCAAAAAGTCAAAACAATCCTTTCTCTGAGATTCACTCATTCAACAAATATCTACCAGACCCCTGCTAGGTGCTGGGAGCTAAGTGCTAAGAGCTAAGGAACTTAAGTTCCTTATGTGCATGGGATAAGACCAAGTCCCTGCTTTCATAACACTTCCATTTCCAGATTATTAATTTGCCAATCATAAAAAAAATTGGGGGCTGTCTTGGTGGTAGCATTAAATGGAGGTAAAGATGAAATAAATAAAGGACAGAGGTTACTTTCCAGGAGATGCAGACTAGATAAAGGGTTCCACATCAGAAGACTGAAGTTCAGAGTTGAGATTTCTGTACTGGTTGCCCCACTTCACACAGTTTGCCAAGATTTTACCAGAAAAGATGAATTCTTTGTGCTGTCTCTTCCCTTTGATGGTCAGAAATGCTCAATGTCAGCACCCTTTAATGACTTAAAAGGTGTGAACACTGTAACCATCTTTGTTTGCTTCCAGGTTTGCCTTTAGATCTAAAAAAGAGGCATCCGCCACATAACTTAGTTGCAGAGTTGGAAAAAGTTTATAAGCAAATAAGTTTTCTTCTGCCTCTAAGAATCCTAGAAATATTTGAAATATGATTTTTTTACAGAGAGAGTGCAAGCAGTGAAGGGGCAGAGGGAGAGCGAGAGAGAGAAAGAGAGAAAGAGAGAGAATCCCAAGCGGCCCCATGCCCAGTGCAGAGCCTGACCTGGGGCTTGATCTCATGACCATGAGATGACCTGAGCCAAAATCAAGAGTTGTATGCTTAACCAACCCAGGCACCCCTAAAATATTATTATTTAAAAATAAGAGCCATACAAATATCATATGACTTCACTCATATGAGGACTTTAAGAGACAAAACAGATGAACATAAGGGAAGGGAAACAAAAATAATATAAAAACAGGGAAGGGAACAAAACATAAGAGACTCATAAATATGGAGAACAAACAGAGGGTTACTGGAGGGGGTGTGGGAGGGGGGATGGGCTAAATGGGTAAGGGGCATTAAGGAATCTACTCCTGAAATCACTGTTGCACTATATGCTAATTTGGATGTAAATTAAAAAAAATTAAATTAAATTAAAAAAAAATAAGAGCCACATAATTTAAATTCCTTACATTTCTCTGGTATGACGAAGTATCTACTAGCTACCCAAATCCCATTCCCCATTGTACTTTTTTTCTCAGATTCAACCTATCTTAAAATGTTCCATGATTCCTCTATTTATTTAAACAAATAATTTTTGAGCATTGCCCACACAATCAAACTGTTCCAGACTTCCACAGTTGGTGAGCACAAATGCAAATTGTGTCAAGCCACATGCCACATCTTAGTACTTGAGTTTTCCATTTGTTTGATAACCTGAATCAGGACTTGACTTTTTTCTCTAGATCTCCTTTCCAGATAATTCTCTGTAGGAGTCCTTGGTAGGGCCAGGGGGAGGGGGCATTCTTATAGTCAGGGCTGGAGCTGGTGGCCACCCAGGAGTCCTTCTCTTTTGATTTCCTTAGTTTGCACCTCTTCTTTCATTCTATTGACATCTAATGTTCTAGATTGTGGGCCACAGAAGGCCTAGCTTTATTCTGTCCTTTGAACTGGCAAGAAAAATACCTTCTACTTCTCATGATCAGTTATTTCAGGAGAGGGTCCCTTGGAAGAGTTCTAAGGCCTGATGACATAACCCCTGGATACGAGGAAGGCTGAGGTGTAAGATTACTGGATACAGCTCCACACTATCCCTGCTATCAGTGTCCCCTTGATGTCCTGAACCTGCTGCTCAAACTGGCCCAATTATCCCTACCTTCTGGTTTCTCTAGATGGTGGTTTCTCTAGATGGTCTTCTAGTTTCTTTCTCCATTCTGAGCCTCACGGAATCTTAATCCAGTGGCAGTGCAGACATGTTGTAACCCTGTTTGGGGCTTTCCCACAGGCCCCAAGCAGACTAAGAGATGAGACTACATGTCTGTTTTGGTTTCCCCAATATCATTGTGTCAGTTAGCAATTAAGTCAGCATAGAGTGTACAAAGATCCACCTGGGGACTCTATTACCTGTCACTGTTGAGTAGTCTAACATTCTTAGGTCCTACACAGTCAAAATAGTTACCACTGTATTCAAAGTTCCAAATTTATTCTTCTTTTGATACATCCTAGTATACCCACCCCAATCCCTATGTTCACACTTCTGTTCCTTTAAGGTCACCCGTTTTAAGTAGAGTTAATATGATGTTGACAATAAAATAATTCACCCTGAATTATTTGTAAATACAAATTATTTATAAGTCTTTTCATGTAGGTAGTGTCATGTGAGTAGGATGTGCTTTCAATCGGGATTGAGTTGGGGGTGATAATGAAGAGCTTTCAAATTTGCCTATTTATGGTATTTGCCTGCCTTTTGCTTGGAATCTTAAATTTTTTTAAATGTTTATTCATTTTTTGAGAGAGAGAGAGAGAGAGAGAGAGAGAGAGAGCATGGGTGGGGAGGGGTAGAGAGAAGGAGACACAGAATCTGAAGCAGGCTCTAGGCTCTGAGCTGTCAGCACAGAGCCCAACACAGGGCTCAAACTCATGAACTTCTAGATCATGACCTGAGTCAAAGTTAGATGCTTAACTGACTGAGCCACCCAGGAGCCCCTGGAACCTTTTTTTTAAAAAGCAGGTGGTGGGGTACCTGGTGGCTCAGTTGGTTAAGTGTTCAGCTTTGGCTCAGATTATGATCTCATGATTCACGGGTTCGAGCCCTGCATCGGGCTGTCGGGCTCTGTGCTGACAGTTCAGAGCCTGGAGCCTGCTTCAGATTCTGTGTCTCCCTCTCTCTCTGTCCCTCCCCTGCTCACACTCTGTCTCTGTCTCTCAAAAAATAAACATTTAAAAAAAATTTTTTAAATAAATAAAAAATTAAAAAAACAGGTGGTTAGAAACTTGTTTCCTTCAATCAACAAAACTAAAAGGTAACCAACGGAATGGGAAAAAATATTTGCAAATAACATATTGAATGAAGGGTTAGTATCCAAAATCTATAAAAAATTTGTGAAATTCACCTAAAAAAACAAATAATCCAGTGAAGAAATGGGCAGAAGACATGAATAGACACTTTTCCAAAGAAGACATCCAGATGGCCAACAGACACATGAAAAGATGCTCAACATCACTCATCATCAGGGAAATACAAATCAAAACCACAGTGAGATACCACCTCACACCAGTCAGAGTGACTAAAATCAACATCTCAGGAAACGACAGATGCTGGCGAGGATGTGGAGAAACGGGAACCATTCTGCACTGTTGGTGAGAATGCAAATTGGTGGAGATGCTCTGGAAAACAGTGTTGAGATTCCTCAAAAAATTAAAAATAGAACTACACTAAAACCCAGCAATAGCACTACTAGGGAATTTATCCAAAGGATACAGGAGTAGTGATTCATAGGGGCACATGTATCCCAATGTTTATAGCAGCACTTTCAACAATAGCCAAATTATAGAAAGTGCCCAAACGCCCATCAAGTGATGAATAGATAAAGACAATGTGGTTTATGTATACAATGGAATACTACTTGGCAATGAGAAAGAATGAAATCCTCTTCATTTGCAGCAAAATGGATGGAACCGGAGGATATTGTGCTAAGTGAAAGAAGTCAGTCAGAGAAAGACAGGTATCGTATGTTTTCACTCATATGTGGAAATTGAGAAACTTAACAGAAGACCTGGAGGAAGGGAAGGGGAAAAAAGTAGTTACAAACCGAGAGCGAGGGAGGCAAACCATAAGACACTCTTAGATACAGAGAACAAACTAAGGGTTGATGGGGCAGGGAGGGGAAAATGTGGGATGCGCATTGAGGAGGGCACTTGTTGGGATTAGCATTGGGTATTGTATATAAGCGATGAACCACAGGAATCTACCCCCAACACCAAGAGCACACTGTATGTTAGCCAATTTGACAATAAATATATTCAATAAAAATCTTGTTTCCTCACTTCTAAAAGACTTTTTTAATGTTTACTTATTTATTTTGAGAGAGAGAGTCAGAAGCGAGTGGGAGAGGGGCAGAGAAAAAGTGAGAGAATTCCAAGCAGGCTCTGTGCACTGTCAGCGCAGAGCCCGATGTGGGGCTCAATCTCATGGACTGCAAGATCAGGACCTGAGCTGAAATCAAGAGTTGGATGCTCAACTGACTTTTAAAAGATTTTAAAGCCTGATCAAAATTATTCAAAGTGCCTAGCCTTCATTATGTTCTTACATATCAGTTTACAGAAACAGAAATCCAGAACAATCCTATTCTACCACCTACTTCCCATTAATTACCAAGACCACTCTAGCCTACCTTCTAAGATATTCTTTTGTCTGTCCCCATGCCATTGTCTTCATTCAGGCCTTCATCATCTGTGACCTGGATGCACAATAACCTTCTGATTGAGCTCTCTGTCTCTAGGCTCTCCAATTCATTGCCAACCCATGTGGCAACCATGCCAACCCATGAATAGTCTTCTAGGATACAAATGTAACCTTCCCCAGGTTTAATCCCTACTGCACCCCATTCCCAGCAAATGGTGCCCAGTCACTTGAAAGGCAATGTCTTAAATCCCCAACAGAACATCCTAACCCCTTCACCATATAGTCCTTATCTGACTGTCTAGACTCATCTCTTGCCCCCCTCAACTCATACACACATATGCTTTAGCAACACCCACTTTTTACATTTTCC